AGGCTTCCGACCAAGATGTGTTCCGAGGTTGCAGGAGTAGTGGAGAATCAGGAGTTCGCTTATGATAACAACGGGCGAGTTATACGTCCTAATGATACGGTCATTATGGAATGCAATGTGTGTTGCAAATGCTCAGATGAATGTCAAAATCGCGTTGTTCAGAGAGGAAGGACGCTGAGACTTGAGATTTTCATGACAAAAAACTGTGGTTGGGGTAAGTTCCTTTCTTTTTTTCTGCTTTGATTTTGCAAACTTTAGCTGACTTTGTCTTTTCCCCCGGAAGGTTTACGCACCCTGGAGCCCATTCAGAAAGGTACTTATATCGATTCGTACCTCGGTCTCGTAATCACTCGCGAAGAGGCAGAGAGAAGAGAGTCAGAATATCGGCAAAGTGGCCTTTCATATCTCTTTGATCTGGATTTTTTCGAGGACCCCGGCGAAGTCAACAATCCTGGCACTGAACAAGCGTTTGAAGCATATGAGAGTATAGAAAATCTGGAAACACCTAATACGGAACTGTCTGGAGGGCAACTCGCAACTCAATCACAGAAGAAGCGGCGGCGATCTGCTCACTTTGGCGGCTCTAGAAAACGAAGAGCGAAGGTACCTTCCTCTGCCGGAAATGGCAGGAGCAAGAAAATTAAAGAGGAAGTGGACGAGCTATCTGAATATGAAGAAACTGGATATTCCAAGTTTGAACAGGAAAAGCCACTCTCCGCAACTGAGGAGGTCGGCCAGAGCAGTAGGGCTACTACTCGAAACCAGTCTGCAGAACAGAAGCCTGAAGTCCCGGCTGGATACAAGCTTGAGAGCTCAAACTCTCCTACCTCAATGGAGCTTAAGATGCCGAGGTACAGTTTGGATTCAAAGGATATGGGGAATGTAACTCGATTTTCCAACCACTCCTGCGACCCAAACCTCGATATCTACAGTGTCGTAACCGGAAGTCCGGAGATCTTCACCTTGGCGTTGTTCGCCAACCGTCCTATCGCCGCGGGTTCAGAACTCACTTTCAGTTATAGCGGTAATACCGGGCTTGAACGTGCTCAGGAGAATAAGAAGATGAGGAAGAGGTATAAGGGTGGTGAAGATACAGAATTGTTTAGATGCAGATGTGGATCAAGGAAGTGTGTTGGGTATTACTGGAACTAGTACGCAATCCTTGGGGTCAAGGGTTTGTATGGCGTTTGTTATCTGCACTCTTGCAAGATGCCGTGATTACATGCCAACAAACATTCTTCCTAAAAAAAAGGAAAAAAAGAAAGGTAGGACAAACAAACAAATCGGAATAAAGTGCTAAAGGGCGAGAGTGGAAAAGAGGGTGATAGTTGAAAGGGGAGGTTAGTGAGGGAAAATCATTGAGAATATGGAAGTGTACCAAAAGATTGGTACAGAGCTAAAAGTGTCTTGGTTTCCTTCAAGATACGGTAGCGCAGTATAGGATGGAAGGTGGAGGCAGGAACGAGAGGTTGGAGGAAGAATTGCGGAGCTTGTCGATACACATCAGCGGGATTGCAGTACGGACAGGTGACAGGTGTTTGGAGGTGAAGCGAGTCTTTTAAGCCAATATACTAAAGTTTTTCATTGTTCTCGTTTTTGCTTTTTCACTTTTCTTTGTTTTCTTGCTTGTCTACATACAAACCCCGGGGTCTCATTCTATTTCATTTTTACAAAGTTGGAACTGTTTTGTTTTGGCTTGTTCATGATACCTCTCGTTGTTTTCCTTGCCTCAGGGGAGTTCTCTTTCCCCATTCCGGGGGATTCTTTTGCTTCATCGCTGTTCTCTATTTCTTACTCGTACATAGCATTTCCTTGTTTTACTTATTTGACCAAAAAAAAAAAAATTTCATTGTCTTCAGGGGTGATTTTTTCTTTTCTTCTTTCTTTCTTGCTTTACATAATGCTCCTTGAATGAATAATATTCTTAGCATAATGCTCTCCCTTTGCCTTTGCATTCTCGATTTATGGGTCAATAGATTTACAAGTGTATAATATACAGTACTCAGATAGGCAGATGGGTACAATGAAAGTCAATAATAATTCAAATATTATAGTTCGGTATAAATGGGGTAAACTAGATTTTATAGTCATTTTACTTTGGTAAAAATAATGGAATCTAAATTATATTTGGAGTTGTGTGTAAAACAATAAGTTGGTATGATAAATGGAGGTCATACAAGTAGCAGGGATAATGTTTTTAGCATATTCGCTTTAGGTTAACCATTCAAAATAATACGCCGCGCCCTAACCCCTTAGCCCAAAAAAAAAAAAAACTTTCTCGATTGCTCTTCATACCACGTTAACTCGTAAAAGTGAGTATCTCCGGACAGGAATGTAATCTCCGGAGATGCTCTGGTCGGCCCTATGTCAGAGTGATTGACAATAATAGTCAAGCCACTATCCAATGTCGTCATTAGGTTTTGTATGATGAGCAGAGAATGAATGAATTCAGCACTTGACCAATCACTAGTACAACAACAAAAAGAGTAGAAGTAAGAAAGGAAAACAAAGTGAACAATTTCTACAGAGATGGATTTCATTCCATTAGAGCTGCCCAGAACTTGATTTCTTTGGTGTTATCTTCTGCAGCTGGAATATCAGCATATTGATCCTGAGTTATGGGCTCATGGCTCCAGTTGAATATTTCCATTCTCCCAAACCCCTTAACATCCAGTTCATGGTCAAGGCTACCATCTATGGGTAGTACCAGTCCCATTATTTGAAATGGGTATAAAATAATATGTTGCTTCTTAGTATAGAACTGATAAAAAGTGTCGCCAATACAGAAAATTGTAAGAATTCTGCATTGTCTGATGGACTACATAGTGCTATTTTATCAGTCTCTTTACATTCTGGAATCACTTAAACAGTGACGTTGTGTATTATGTCTTTAAGAGACTTGTTAATAGATATGTTGAGTGTCTGAATAAGAAAGATACAGCCAGCAGGGATGATGTTAGGCAGAGACAACCTGTATAGACTCAGAGTTGTTGAAGCAAATTGAGATTTATTTCTGTAGACAGAGATTTGTCTAGGAAGGATCAAGGTGTACTCGTTTAGTATATGACTACTAAAAGTGAGTTAAAGTAGTAAAGAATGGTGAGAACAATATTATAATATTAAAGTTGCTTCTTAGTTGCTTGATGATATCTAAAAGCTTGGGAGGCACTTTGATACTTATATTCTGCATCTGAGTATTCATGGACTACACCTATTTCTTATACAAAGTACATACTTTTTTAACTATAACTTGGAATTTTGCGTATTCTCCAAAGGTGCGAATACTAGGAGAGCTTGAAAACCATTACATACTTCTCGGCAATTTACTATTTTACAAGTTGGGGAACTGTGCTATTTCCAATAGTAATTATCTGATTTTTGGAGCTCTTAAACTTATGGCCTAGTTCTATGGTCGAACTATGTTAGTCCTAATTGTCTCTCCTATTGACGGAATGATCAGTTTCATCCACAGGTTACATCAGCAGGAGTAGTCATTGATGCAATCTTAGATTACTGACTATAAACCTCCATAACTCTTGATCCAACTGACAGATATTTGCTGGATGACTTCCTACTAATTCACAGAAAACCATTCTACCAGATTGGCTGATAATTCCTCTGTTAGCAATTCTTGGTTGTTCTAGGGAACAGAGCTTTAGTTATTATGTGGTATTGGTAATAATGCCAATAACTATAACACATTCCTTGACCTAGTTGTAACCCTCTAAACAGTCTATTAGCTTCTTCAGTAGTGCTTTCCAGGAGTTCTAAACTCTTCCAATTATTGTAGGGTAGATGAGAATATATTGGCTTTTCATAGCGATCCTTTAACATTCAATATCCTATTTTTATGTGATAAAGTCTGGTTACTTACAGCTCCTGCCAATGATATTTGATCTTCGAAGCCTAGTAACACTCTGCATTGTTAGCGAATTTACTCTGTTCTACTTCCCAAACCTAGCCGAAGGTTACCTCCCATATACCCTGTAAACAGGACCAGGTCGGACAGACAGTA